AAAACACCAGGGCGGTTCCTCAGCACGTTCTCTGGACCTGCCCAAGATGCAAAATCCCAGTAATCTAGCAGTGCAAGCATGTAATCCTGATGCTACAAATGCTTCAAAGTTTACCCAGGCTTCTGAGAAAGAACTGGCAGTAGATCTACTGCCAGACTGCCATACTGCACTAACAGGGCGCAATAAGAAATATTAAAACCAGAGAACTAGAAGGAATATTCTGCTTACATTGTTTTTCAAACTTTCATAATATTTGTATGTACTATACATTTTTGTAATTTAGTAGTAAAAACACTGCCAAAATCTTAACTCTAGATACATGATAGTGTTATTTTTTTATCTAAAGTGCTCCTATGGAATAGCAATTCATCTCCTAGTTGTCTTGATCTGATTCAAAAAAAACAATTTTATCTCACTTTGAAGACCACGAACAATCAGCTCAAAGAAGCTGTGCATCTTTCATCTTTATTTTTATTTAAATAAAACTTGAAATTAATTTTAACCTTTCACAGTTGGGTTATACCTGAAGTAATTTCTTCATCAAATCCAAGTGTCTATCTTTTCACTCAGAGAATAAAGGAAGAAGTACAGTGGTTTTCCATAGCAAACAACATATAATAATAAGATATAAAATAATATATAAAATACATATTTTTAAAATAAACTATCAAACACTTTTATCTTAACATCAGTAAATACAAGAATCCTCTTGCTGTTTTTGTTTAACTCCTGTCTGCAATAATGTAAAGCGGAAAAGAAAGCATGGTCTAGTTCTTGTAGGAAGTAAAAGAGATGTCTTCTGCAGCAAATTCCGGAACTTCTTAATTTTACACAGACTTATTATCTGTATCCCCAGTGTTATAAAGTACCAGAACTTCATTAGAAAAATTAAGATGGAAAAATGAAGGCACTACTTTGTAAATTTCCAGTGGAAATTAGCTGGAAGAAGCAGAGGAATACTGGATCAAAAGAGGGTAATCATGCTTAACTGTGCCCTAGAGCACCCGCATGTATAATACGATTTGCACAGTAACTACCTCTCCTATTACTGCTTGTTTGGAGTATTCTGTGTTAATGGGGTTAGCTAATTCAGTATTTTAACTTAAAAAGACTCTGCTGATTAATAAATGTTGCACACTGTGCTAGTAATTAAAATAAATGGAACAGTTACAAATAGAAGTTGAATTGTTAAGAAAACATTATCTGAAAATATATGATAATCCCTGTTTATCATAATACAATAACAGTCCAGAAAATATGCAAATTCCTGAAGTTGCAAAGCATATGAAAAACTAAGTATAATTTGAAAAAAGTTTTCAGACGCGTTATATTTGTATGACATAAAATGTAGTAGTCATTTTCACTGCAGCTAATTCAGAAATACAGTAAAAGATATTATAAATGTAGAAATTAAAAGATTTTTTTACAATCTTAAATCTTATCAAAGACACTTGCTTTTTAATTTTTAATACCATTAATACCAGGCAGCTCACAGCACTGGTGCTTCCAAGTATAGAGCTTATTTAGATGATTAACTTCTCTGTAAGCGTACCTTTCGTGCACAGCACTGTGTTGCACAAGTGCATCTAAGCTGGTCCTAACAGAAAGCATTATCTTGCTGAGAATAAACCCATGAGGAGCTTGGTGCCACAATGTTCGTACAGCATGTGAGAGGCAGGGTGTGCAAACATTGCACTCTGCTGCACTCAAGTGAAGCAGCGTGTTCAGGACTAGTTTGTCTATCCCCAGTACAGCACTGAGCACAGACATAGCCAGAAGCTGAGATGACTTGCCTGATGTCACACCAGAAGACTACAGTAAATCAGTAAATCAGGAAATCTCAGTCTCCCATTATTCCTGTTTAATCCCTATTCCATCATCGCACTGCAACTCATTCTGATGTATGTTGACTTTATAAAGATGTTTAATAGTGTACTTTGAAGCATGATGCATATTACGTGAGAGAGATTTCAGCAAAGTTAATGAAAATAATTTACATTTTTGTTCTCTGGAAAATTAGGCCAGCATGCAGCTGCATGGAACTAAGTAAAGAACTTTTCATGCTTAGTGATCTAAATCTGCTGGATCCAGCAGTTGGTGTCTCAAACTAGACACTAGCTTATTAAGTGGCCATCCCGAAGGAGTCCAATTGTCATTCCTACCCAAGCAGACGGGGATATCATTTCATTTGTATGAAAAACAGCACAATAAGACAGTAAACTTCAATTACATGAGAAAAAGGAGCCATGCTTATTAGGCTAGATTACCCAGTTGCTCTTTTATTACAAAACAGAAAATTCCACCAGTTGCTTTAAGAACATTCTCTCTTGCTTTCAATTGTACTGTTTCCAAATGTCTCAATGCCTCCCACAGCTTTTTCAATTATTTCTGCATTTTATTAGAAGCAAAATCTTTCTCAGAGCTTGAAACAGAGAAAACATATTACCACTTTAAAGAATTCTGATAATGAGAGGTGAGTGCGAATTCCGAATATTGTCCTAAATTGCAGGTATATACTGACAATTTTTCTGCCTTAAGAGATACCACACAATACTCTGGAAATATACAGATCAAGTATTTAGTCTGTCATTTTATGCAAGCACAAGCTTTCTCAACAAATGCCACACACTTTGCCTGTTCATTCTCTCCTTATTTTCTAAAACAGAGGAATAATCAGCATAGGAAGCACTACCGGGAAGAAATACAGTCCCAAAGTACACAATTACATAGAAAGAGACAGAAATTTGTCAATTCATAATAGATACTGCTGAGAAAAAAACTACTGTAGAATCTGAGTAACCCTTTGCTGACTCCTCCCTGGAGACTGACATGCCACACAGCAGCTGCAGTATTACTACTGAGTGTTAGTCCTGATGATGACCTGCAACTCTGTCATCACCTTTTCAAGGTTACAGCTGTGACCCTTTCATGGTTGGTTGAATCTGAGGCACAAACGGAATGATCACGGCCTGAAAACATATAATAAACTACACATTTAGTGTGCATGAAGCTGAGAATCAGTGGTGTTAGGACACTGCTTCTGTGCATTATGAAAGGCACCAAATGCTTCCTTGCCCACAAGGTAAAAAAAGACTCCTGATCAATTAAAATTCATCAAAGATGCAGGCTCTAAATTTAAACTGTACAACAACAAAGCCTTCACAATTCACTCATTGAAGAGAGTCAGTGAAATATTTATTACAAGATCTGACCTTTTGAAACTGTTGACACAGTGATCTCTGAGGTAAATCTCATCAGATAAAGACTGGGCAATATAGTTAAGTCTATAAAGGAAGGACATCATCCATCCTCACTTGGAATGCATCAGTCACAACTTATTCAGTAAAAATAGCATTTTAAATCAGAGGTAGCAGCTTAATTATTACCCAATAGGCTTTTTTAAAAGATTTCACTGGCAAAAGCTAGAAATAAAAATTAATTAAATAAATATATAAAACTGGCCCAGAGTTAAGCTGAGATGTGAAAGTTAAGGTCCTTCCCTCTCACTCCAATAAATGAAAGAAGCAGTGACAAATAGAAAACTGAAGTACATTTTTACTTGTAACTTAACTTAGTGATGTTTTTGGTTTGAAAGGAATAAAATGTACTGTATCTCATTTTTGCCAATGAAACCAAAAAATAACATTGCCTAAAAGTGGAAAAGTAGCTGAACTAAGATGCCATTTTCTTTCCAAGCTGTTTTTAAGTAAGATTTCCATTTAAAGTCACTATTAATATTAAATCGGGGAAAATGTGAGAAAATAGATCCAATAATAAAAACATAAAAGCTAAACCATGTGAATGCAGTTGATTCTGGCATTCTTAAGTCACAGTCCTGAAGCTAACACATGGCGACATGGAGCTGATAGAAAAGCCTAAAACACATCAAAGATAGCAAAGCATCATGTTCCAGTGAATCTGTGGATTGCAGGCTGCTTATGAGGAAAAGTGATTCCTTCCTGTTATGAATTCTGGTATTAAAGTTTGAAAGTATTGCCAAAAGCAGCAAATTTGCCAATTTTTCCAGTTGACAAAACATCAACTTTTTCTTGTTAAGTACAAAGCTAGAGCAGGTGACTTAATAGACTTTTTATGACTGGACAAAAGAGTTCCATTACAATAAGAACAGAATCAGAAAAGTTTTGGCAGTAACCTTATATCTTTCGGGACAGAAGCCTTAAATCTTTTGGGATGGATTATGTCTGTACTTGAGGTTGTGTGGAAAAGAACTGGCCCATCTGACACTATTACAGATGCTAAGGCTTAGGAAACCAAACTGCTTCAAAGATAATTACAGTTTTTGCATCATGTTCTAACATGTGCAACATATGCTCCCTTCACTTCCAAGTGAGCTTTGGTAGTCTACTGAGAGAGGAAGCAAGTCTCATTGGCATGCAACACCACCTTTTCCTCCCATAGTCTGTAAGCTCCCTGAATATGAAGACTGAAACAGTATTTTTTCCTTGGCAAGGTGCATGTGGCTAAACAGAATTTGCTTTTGTTTACTTATTTCGCATTAAGCCCATCTGTTGCGTCACATATTATTATTATTACAAGTTCTTCTATAGATTCATAGATTCATGTATGGCAGATGTCACACAATTACAAGATAAGGTCCCTGACCTGAACAGCTTATAATATAAGGAAACAGAATTTAGAGGTATGTACAAAGAATGTTTGCCATTAAGCTGTCAAGTTTGACATTTCATTTTGTCAGGCATGAAAGGTTTCTGAAAGTAAGAGAATAAAGAAAACATTCTCATAACAATATAAGAAAAAACTTACTTGTTGTCATGTATGCAGTTTCTCCATTCCTGCCTTTTCATTTTCTCTCTGGCCTTCTCTAGTGGTGAATTGATTGATGCTGTCATGTGCAAGGTTCGTTCCAAAGGTTTGTAGCGCTGCTGTAATACTTCAGTGGTATCTCGAAAAGGCCCCTGAAAGGTATAGGATAATATAAATGTCTTTTCTTTCCTTCTTTTATTCAGAGGACACAGAATGTCTGGGCAGTGATTTTTTTTCCAAAACAATTAAAGCAGTTCATTTTATAAAATGTTACAGCTAACAGAAAGCTTGATAACATGCTCTAAACTAAGAATGAGAAATATGCACTCCAGATTTATTTAACTACTAATAATTATTTATTCTTTTAAAACAATACATTGTTAGAATTGATTAGGTAAACTTAGTTCTTCCTTAGAAAAAATACTGGTGAAATAAAATTCCATACACAAGTATTAACTGCATTTAGATTCTGCTCAAGCAGAAAGCTTAAGTCTTTTCCTTTTCATGGCATAAGTAATGTTTTGCCTTAAAGAACATACTCCTTTCAATTTAACTATAAAGCTACATGGAAGGAAATTTAATACATGATGTAAGAAATAATTCTTCCAGTACAATTCAAATTAATTAATAATCAATTACTCAATAATATAGGTGTATAGTCCATTTTGAGAAGTCTAATTCCACATTAATGTCATTATTCTTTAAAAAAAAAGCTCATAATTATTTCACAAGTCTCTCTATATATACACAAATATATCTTTTTTTCAAGAGTATGTTGCTTAATAACCAATTACATCAGCATCTACCACTTAACAACACAGAAAAAGAGCACCAGGAATTTCTCTCCTTCACTGTCAAAGTGACATATCCTATATCTTGCTTATAGTACTAAACAGTAAGAACTTACCTAGAGCATAACTAGTGCCATACTATGCTCAGGACAGTTAGTGGCAACTTTGGATTTAGAAGCATTGCTAATTAATTTTTATTTTATTTTCATCATTGTTGATCCTGCAATGAACTAGTGAAACCTTCTGAAACTATGAACAAAGAATCCTAATCACAGTCTTTATTCTTAAAGATATCCTTCGTTAAATAGGTTATCACTAACAAGTCACAGCTGGAGTTACTGCAAGCACTGAGTGAAGACTGTGTGGCTAATAAAAAGAAATGATTCACGCCTCATTTATGTTCACTTATGTTTTACATTAATAGAAACCAATAATAGGAACCAGTTACCATAAAAGTCATGGACCGTAAATAACACAAATGGCAAATAAGTATCATCTAGTACTTTTCACAGCTGGACAGGAGGATTGCTATATTTGAAAGTAGTTAATGGATTTTTATTGGAACTTCACTTTTTAAAGGCACAGCATCATGATCTGGAGACGATTGTAAAGGTCCTAGTAAGCAAATGAGCATAACATTTACACTAGAAGATATAATCTTGCTTCTATTTTCTAAGTCTGTGTAAAAAAAGTGTTCATTTAATTTGACCACAATAATTCTTTAAAAATAGAATGAAAAGTATAACCGCCTGTGAGATGATGATCAATACTAGAACAGGTCGCCAAAACTAGTCAGCAATGTTCTAGTAATACACAACTTAATGATTAAGTTACCAAATAAATTTGAAGTTTATAACAAATAAATGAATACTCTTTATTGTAAGTTGTTTGTGGCCAAGTTGGACAGGGCTTTGAGCAACCTGGTCTAGTAGAAGGTGTCCATGCCCATGGTAGAGGGGTTGGACTAAATGATCTTTAAGTTCTCTTCCAACCTAAACTATTCTATGATTCTATGATTCTAAGAAATGTACTATTATAAAATAATATCAAGATAAATATGATTGCTTTCAGAAAACAGTCTTTCAGAATATTGTATTTGTTTCTCATTGTAAAATACTAACTCATATTCCACCAGGTTAAGTGCTAAATCAGATAACCAAGGAAGGGTTTTTTTTTCATCTTTAATTTCTAAGACCTTCTAATGCTCTCTCCAGGCATAGAATCCAATTACGAATGAAAGGTCTCTGAAACAAGGCTGTGTCACCACTAATGAAAGTAGGGTATATATGCTAGAATACTACGATAATTCTAAACATTCCTTGCAGATTTTTCCATTCCTCTGAATCATGTATTTGAGGAAACTTACCCAGCAATAGGCACCTAAGGAATATATCTAAAATGACAAGACCTCTAAGAAATACATTTATCTATTTCTAATTTTTTACAAGACTGACTTTAAGATTCATGGAATCTGTGGTAGAATAGTGCTTACAAATGGTTTCAAATTGGCAGTGCCTGCAAGCATTTCAGGCATCCTGCTTCAAAACTGAAATCTTCCAGGAGAGGTAAAGCTAGGAGAGGAGGGAGGGAGTCCACCAACAGTTTTCACCCTGAAATCAGCACACACAGCTCTGTGTTCTGCTTGGAATTTGTGCTGAGTAGCATAAATCTTTTCGCTACTGATAGTTCTGTCAAATAAAGGTCAGCAGATCAGCATTCTTACTATTTTACCATAAAATCAGAAACTCATGATAAAAATTATGATCTACAGGAAATTATATGTTCTTCACTGCCTCTATTCTGGAACAGCTACCAGCACACAAAAAATCTCCTAAAAATGGCAATGTGCTTTCTGTTATTAATGCCTTTTAATGAACAGATTAGTAATTTTACTATAATTGTGTTTCCATCAAACTGCAATTCTAGTTAAATCGGTAATAAAAATGATAGATCTAACTGACGTATAAGCAACATTAAAACTTCTCTTTTAAATATACACATAGACCTTACCTATAAAATGCTAAATACCGATTTCCCTAAGAGAAAGTTTAGTTACTTTTTTGTTCTTTTAAATATATATAATTGACATTCTCATATAAAATATCCAACCCTATGGGAGTACAAATTTTAGACACTTGAAAGAATAGTGAAGTAACAAGTGATTCACAGTGGGTTGCATAGATATTAGAAAAAGAAGCTTGGTGCTAAAAAAGTGTTACCACAGAAAACTAGGACACAAGTATATCTAGTAATTAAATTCCTTATTGTCATACCAGACAACTTTCAGGATGATGTGTTCTGATGGGTTTTCATTTCCAGCTGTTTCAGCAGCTCAAACCGGTGTCTTTTTCATAGACATACAACCCTAAATTGTCAAAGTGTTGCACAGGGATTTAGCCGTGTGACTCCCATTAACATCAATAAGAGTCGCGCAGCTAAATCCACGCGCTGTGCTTTGAAAATTTACCCCACAGTGTACATCCCAGGGTGCTGAAAGGATTAAAGTATTATATAGTAAATTCCCTCTTTGAGATGCAGAAAATAAACAGAACTCTTCTGGTTTGTTCTAAAAGGCTATCTGTGCACGACTGCTGTGTGTGTGTCTGAACTCAGAAAGGCCTATAAAATATTCCAGATTCAAACAGAAGCTTGCAAGATCATTTGTATACAGTAAAGCAGTTTTGCAAGTGCAATTTAACAATGGAAAACCTCTGAGTTGCCTCTTTATTTAAAAGCATGATTCTTGTACCATATCCACTAGGCAAAATCTTCCCCTCTGTCCTGAGAGAATGCCTCCAGTCACATCCCACTGAAGGACTGTCATAGCCCCTTTGGTCCCAGAAGGTAAAGCTACAATGTCATGTTTATCTCAACCTTCAACTCCCTGATCACTCAAACTGTTTGTTTGCTCACATTTTGTCTCAGTTCTAATGTAAGTCAATGAGTTCATTTTATGAGGAAGCTCAAGCCATCAAGGTAGGGAGAACATAAGGAGGAAAGCATAAAGGTGGAGAACTGCCCTGAAGTTGACCCTTACTGTTAAAAGCACTGTGGATCTCTGGTGGCCCACCTCTACTTCTCCAGAGGTTTTCTGGCAGTCCTGCACCTTCTTATCATGATCTAATCCAATTGCTTTTACCTTCATGTCTCACCACTGATACAACTTGCCCTAGTACACAAGTCAGTCATGACACAGAAGTGACAAAAGCCTCTTCAGTGGGAATTGGCCAGTAAGCCCATGGCCGTCCCTGCTGAAGAACAATGTGGATGAAATCAATAGGCTACAGGCAAATTGTGGCAGATGGCATGCATACACATTGTTTGAATCCAGTAGTATTTCAGACTTAAGACTATGTTCAGATCACCTCTACCAAGGGCTGTAAAAATAACCATATCAATTCAGAGGAGTAACATACCAATAAAGCTATATTATACATTGCTTATTGCTCATTATTGTTGTTTAATTTCTGCAGTTAAATGATAGTTTCAGTGAAAGTTATGGAGAAGGACTCATTTAGAAGCATTGTCTTTCTAAGAAAGATACGGAAAAGAATATTCAAACACAGGACAGAGTACCAAAAGAAAAAACTGTAGAGGTTCCGAAGACATTGTGGTCATTCAGAGTCAAACCAGCAGTGAAAGTGTATGTGTAAAGTAAGCAGAAGATTCAGTAACTCGGGCAAACTGAAAAATTCTTCATAATAGAGGGAAAGACAGAATACTTCTATCCCAAAAGTAACTATATCAGATCTTCACTGGCAAAAGCTACATGTAATTGTATTGTCATCAAGTGAGGAAGATAAAGGTCTCATAAGTTTGTTTGCTGCGTATATTGGGCATATTCCCAGCATACTTTGATAATAAGGTGGCAAAAACTATTTTGCCATTTTATGGGACGTTCACTCTGCTGCCTTATCTCAGAGATTTCCATTACTTTAAAGAACAAAAAAGCTATCCGCAACATATGATGACAACAACTGAAATTTAAAATTGAAACCATGACAGTTAAGAATTGGAGCTGAGCAACTTGCAGAACAAAATGTAGACATTTTTGTAATTAAAGCTCACACACAGCTAGTGGGCACAAAAAAGCAGGAACTACTCTATACTGAGAGGATGTGTCTTGGCCTTCACATGGAAAACGATTGCAAAAAAAGGAACAAGGTATCACAACTCTATAATTTGTCCTATTATCTTTCATTTCTCCTATTATGTATTGATTTAAAAATGGAAATTAAGAGTTTTAGCTCTAATGAATCATAATGTTGACTTTCAGTTATATTAGATCTTCCTTTTGAATATTGGAAATGACCCTTTTTTTTCCCCAAGGACAAAAGAAAAATTCTAAAGAATAATTTCCTCCACATGCCACCTAGGTTACTTTTTCTCTACGATAAATCTGTTTAAAAGATTTTATATCCTGAATGCAAGCACTAGATCTATATAAAATAAAACCAAATCTACAAAAGGGATTTTGACTCGATGATCCTTATGGGTCCCTTCCAAATTGAGATATTCTATCATAATCTATGATAAAGGATACAAGCAAAAGCTGCCACAGAGACACTCGAAAATGTTACCTGAGGTTTCTGTCTGCCAATAGGTGGTAGACGCTGTGCTGTGGAGAAATCTGGAGGCCTTTTACAAGTTGGCCAGTCATAGAGCTCATAGGTGAAGGGACTCTTCATTTGCTGCCGTTTGTGGCTCAATGGCTTTGACTGGGATAGAAGCCTTTCCATTTCATCTGGTGATTTTCTAAATGGTGAATTGTAAATGCCTGCAATCTGAGCAGAAGATGGGGTTATCTTTTACTTCAACTAACTTAAAACTCATTCTTGCATTTATTCTATAAAAACTCCTACTTAAGAAAACAACAACTATATAATAAACAAACAACAACTATATCATAAACAGTTTTCTGACAACTACTGACATGGGATAGATCTATAGTTCAAACACATCTCTGGGCATTGCATTACAGTTACAAAAGGGTTTAAATAGGATAATATAATGTATAAACTGTGTTTCAGTCCTTCAAATGTGGGTAACTTCCATTTTCATGGAAGGAAGAGCTTCCTCTATCTCAAATCCATGTTTTCTTTCAGTCACATTTAACCTTCCACCTTCCACTGCAGTAGTCAAAGAAACATGTCAGTTCTCCCATAAAAATATTCAGAAGTGTGTGAATTTGCATCTAGCTTTAAAGGCAAACTATCACAGTAGTTTTGAAATTTAAAGCTTAATTTAAATTCTTATTTAAATTCCCACACACAAGAACAAAAATATATTACCTATTATTTCCGAACACATACTTAAAGAGTAGAATAGATGTTTATGCAAGAGAACATAATACTTGTCCCTTTAAAGTCTGTGCTAGCTGACCCACAATGTTGACTAAGACAGTGGCAACTGTAGCATTTTTAAAAGTAAAACTGAGTGATTAGTTAAGGGGAAATACAGGAAAAATTATGGAATACTAAAATCAGTAATTGCTTTTTTTCCCCAAAAAAATGCTCACTTTAAAGTCCTTTAACTGTTCAAATGTATTTAGCTTTAAATACATAAAAATTGTGTGAAAAAAAATGAGAATAAAAATTCATGAGTTGGGAATTAAACTGAAAGATTCATTCTTCACTGAATTTGGTATTTCCTTTTTTTCCAGATTCATCCTTAATTGCATTACTAGTGTGCTCTAATGTAACAATTACTAATATAAAGCACACATTTCAACTACATCATTAATGATATGTGAGTATCTTTCAAGTCAAAATTATGCAACAGACTCTTCCCAAATCATTCCTATAAATGTAGGGATTTTATCAGTTGTATATAAACAATTCTCTAATAGACATATGTGAGTTTATTGAATTAATTATGAACTGCTAAACATGAGAATTCCTATATCATATTTCACAAAGTCACTAAATATCTTCTAAAACAGATGATATATGCTTAAAATACATCAGGCAAAAATCATTGAGTTGGCCAAAAAGCAACTGTGTTTTTTTCTGGGTACATGAAAGGTGAATTTTTCATGGAAACAAAAACTGTATTAAACAATATATTGTCTATTTTCTTCAATCAGGTTTTGCCATCTTTATGGCAACTTCATTATTCCACACTCAAAAAAGTTCTTATAATTTTCAGCAAAAAAACAGCTCCAGGAGTGATTTGATATCCTCATCAGCAGTGAAGGTTTCACCATTCAAGGCATTTTGTAAAAAAACAAACAAACAAACAAAAAACAAATAGTAGTCTGATGGTGTCAGGTCTGGTGAATACGATGGATGTGCACATCCCATCCAAGCTGAAACAATTTGTGACGAGTGACCAAACTTATGTGTGGCCTAGCATTATCATGGAGAAGCATCACACCTTTGTGATTGACCAATTCTGGATGGCATCATTTAATTTATCCAGTTGATGACAGTACACATCCAAATTAATGGTTTGAGCTGGTTCATCACACTTGCTTCATGATCTTTTTCATGTGTCATTGTAGATGATCCAATTTTCATTGCCTGTTATCACCGGTTTCAGAAATTCATTGTTTTCTTCACTTTTCAAGAAAGAGTTGCAGATATCAATGTGCTTAGTGACATGAATTTCTTTGAGTTCATGTGGTACTCAAATATCAAGCTTCCTAATGTATTCAAGTTGTTTCATACAGTTTTCAACACTCGATTTTGATAGCTCAAGATTATCAGCAATCTCTCATGTCATTAAATGCTGATTGGATTCCATCAATGCCTTCATTTTGTCGTTATCAACTTTGATTGGCATTTCTGAGAGTGATGCATCATTAACATCAAAATTTCTGGACCGAAATTTAGAAAACCAATTCAGACATTGCCATGGTTTTAAAGCATCTTCACAATACACATCACATAACTTTTGATGAGCTTGCATGGCATTTTTTCCTTTTTGGAAGTAATACAGCAAAATACGACAAAAATTTTCCACTTTGAAATTGACACCAAATAAATAATTGTTTATGAAATCATGCACTTTCCTTTTGTAAGAACTTGAACTGTCAGCTGTCAAGTTACATAATTAAATTGTGGTTTAAAATGAAGTTATGTACATTTCAAGACATCTATATCCATCTATTAAAAAACACCACAATTACCTTTTGTCCAACCCAATAATTTAATGATATTGAGTTGCTTTAAAGATAATCATATTGTCTACAACAGTATACTCAGGGTACACTTAAGACTTTTAAAGTACATTTGCTCAGATAAAAGATATTGTCCTTTGCTTTTATCATAACTTTAATTGCTGTGAAGTATTGAATGACAATAGTAGGAAAAGAAATCAATTTTGTGTTGCAGGGAAAGGTAAGGAAAAGAGTAAATGTTTAAAATCTTGCATTTCCCTTTTGGAACACCACTAACAACTCATGAGAACATTAGGAGAGAGCATCAGCCTTCTCATAAAGTAATAATCTCTTGGGGCTAAGAGGATTGAACACTCTCCAGTTAGCTCTAATACATTTTTCTTTAACATATCCTAGTGGGAAGTTTCAATTTCTTGTGTCAAAACAGTTAAATAAAGCCCACATAAAACTTAATTTTTAATGGACAAAAATATTCAGAGATGGCAGCTTATTCAAAATATTGTTGGGTTATTCAAAATTTTATGGGCTATATTCAATTCTGTAAGTGATCTGGCCCTATTGACAGTTTATTTTGGCCCTCTATTATATAATCCCCTCTTAGTGCAAACCCTATAAACTATTCCACTACACCATCATTCTAAATGTGTAATGGGAAAGAGGAGATTGTTAGAGATAAGTGGTAGAAACATATGTATGCCAAACAACCACTGGTTGCTCCTTCAGCTCTTCAGGATGTCAAACTGAAATGGCAGGGATCCCTGCTTCAAATAGCAGGCAAGCAGAATTACTGGAGTGAATGAGATTGCAGGTCTATCTGTATGATCCATAAAGTCCAGCTGCATCTTAAAAGTTTGGTTCTACAAGCCTGGCCCTTACTCACATAAACTTCTCATAAAGTTAGAGATTCTCCTAATGCTGTTATTAATTTTGTAGTATTGTAGAGATTCACAGAATCAGCGAATGGTTTAGGTTAGAATGGACCTTAAAGATCATCCAGTCTAACCCCCCTGCCATGGGCAAGGGCACCTCCCACTAGACCAGGTTGCCCAAAGCCTTGTCCAACCTGGCCTTGAACACATATTTTGCAGTATCTATGGCAATTTTCTTTTCAGCCCAGTAACTTTTTGCTTGCAAACACTCAGTGACCTGGAAGCCCTACATGAACACAAGTTACCTATGTTGTCTTATATATGGCTCCATAAGTATGATGGCTTTCTGAAACTGCAATTTGCAATCTATATTGATATACTATGTATATTCTACTTGATATTTCTATGTTTAAATATTTGGCAGTAGAAAAAACTATAGTTCATAAATGGTTCAAACACTGAAATGCTGCTGAATATCTCAAGGTGCACAGATAGGATTGGCTTTCAGTACTTTTAATGACACCAAAATTAGTCATAATAGGTATGGGAATCCACCGATTGTCTTTTGAATTATTATTGTTGGAAAAGGTGTCTTAATAGAAAGCCATCTTTTGTTGTTCTCTTTTTAAATCCTATCAGGTTAATCATACAGATAGTGTACCAACTATGAAAATTGATTTGAAGTTTTAGTGAGGCCAGCTGGACACTTTAAAAGTTGCTTCTTCTATAGTTGAAACACTTTGTAAGATCTGGGTCAAAATTGACTACGAAATGCATTTTTAAATAATTTTCCAAGCAATCCTTGTTAATTACTCTAAATTTTAATTATATATGTTCAAGTATTCAAACAGAGATAGCAGAGCAATCAGCTGAGTTAGTATCTAGACAGATAAAATTAATACTAATTTACTCTAAATTCCCAAAGGTTTGTGGTAAGGTTTTAGACACAGATTTAAAATCGGCAAAGTTTAGTAGGAGAGACAAGGGGATGAGTTTGATTCTACTTTCCAGTTCAGACCAATCTCTGGCAAAATTTCTTCCATTCATTTTTAAATATCTTTGCAAATCAGAGTCTTATTTTCGTAATTTCTTGCACATTTTTTGTGTGCTGATGGATGCCCTATTAACTCTATCCTCTGCAGGGAGCTGGCAGTCTGCAGAAATCTAAGAATTTGGAGGATCAAAGCCTTTGGTACTTAATAAATTTGCATATTTCCTTGAGACCAGTACAATGTGTTAAAAGCATTACTTCATCTTTTCCCTACTTTAATACAATATTCTCTTAACTACAAAACCATTATAGCTAATACTGCTTTTTCGATGGTAGAAAAGTATCTGTCTTGAGATAGTAACTCATAATTTGACTCCAAAATTTTCCACACCTTTAGTCCATAAGAAAATATGTTACCCTCCAAAATATCATGATAGGTTACAAAAAGTACCTTTTGTCTGCAAGGAGAATGACACATTTTTCTGTACCCGTGTTCTTCACAACTAAGAAGGGCCTCTGTCAAAGCCAGCTTTCTGAGACTTCATTTCCAGGAACAATTTTCTAAAGTGACAAATACTATGGGGAAATCTGTGCTAACTGTTAAAAAAAACTACAACTGAGTTATTTGCAGTACTGTCATGCTAACTTCCACCTCAATAAGACCAAAGAAATCTCAGGAGGGGTCTCTGCTAATAGCTTCTTACTGACCTCCTTGCATCAGGCCCTTCTCGTGAATGGTGGCCCAGTGGTGAATAAGGCAAATGAGGTGTGAAAGCACAGATTTTTTTTTTTAAGACTATGGTT